TGTGTGTGTGTGTGTGTTTGTGTTTCTGTGTGTGTGTGTGTTTGTGTTTCTGTGTGTGTGTTTGTGTTGGTGTGTGTGTGTATGTGTGTGTGTGTTTGTGTTTCTGTGTGTGTGTATGTGTGTGTGTGTTTGTGTGTGTGTGTGTGTGTTTGTGTTTGTGTTTCTGTGTGTTTGTGTGTATGTGTGTGTGTTTGTGTTTCTGTGTGTGTGAGTGTGTTTGTGTTTTTGTGTGTGTGTGTTTGTGTTTGTGTGTGTGTGTGTGTTTGTGTTTCTGTGTGTGTGTGTGTTTGTGTTTCTGTGTTTGTGTGTGTGTTTGTGTTTCTGTGTGTGTGTGTGTTTGTGTGAGCCCATCATAGTGCCAAAGCAGAGGTAACTTTCACGCAATGAAATGAAACAAAGCACATTTCCTCTTCGGCAAATGAATAGATTAGCCTGTGAAAAAACAAGAAGTGTGAAGTATCCAGCAATCGTGCCTCTATCTTAATTCTGTGTCAATGTGCCGTGCGTCTGTGTATGTGTGTGCTCAGTCTGACGTCGTTGGAATCTCCCAGGCTCCAGTGCAGGGAAGCGGAGGGTGAATTTCACAGTACGAACGAATCCCCAGAACCAGAGCAGCTCCTCTCCTGGCGTATGCTGCTGCATTCTGAAAAGATTTATTTTTTCTGTGCTTCTTTAGCTGAATGGAGACACTTCTAGCTGAGGTAATCCACTTCCTGTTTGCAGTGCTGATCCGTACAGTGAGGTGATCCACTTCCTGTTTGCGGTGCTGATCCTTATAGTAAGGTGATCCACTTTCTGCCTGTAGCACTGGTCCTCGCAGTGATGTTATCCCCTTACCGTTTCCAGTTCCGATCCTTGCAGTTGCGTACTGGTGCAATTGGGTTAAAGTCTGCTTCTGAGTGTTGTGTGGTTGCCTCGTGCCACCAACCCCCCCCATGGCCATCTCACTGACCACACCCTCCTGAAGACAGAAAGACTCTCAAAGTTACCCGCATGCTTTGCTACCCAAATGACTTCGGGCTTCTCTGAGGACTAGGATGATGATGATGATGAAGGTCATTTGCAAACTCCTTTGTTTCCAACTGGTCGTTGTTTGCTGTCTCTCACATACGGGTCTTATGCAAGTACAGCTCTGTTAATGACACGGCTGCATGCGGGTGTTTGTGTTTGTGCCTCGGTGCTTTAGTGTGTTTATGTGGTTTTGTTTCTCTCTCCTTGTGAGGACTGCATGTTAGAATATGTTCCAGTAATGACTGGAAAATTCAGAAAAAGGGGATCCCTGTTCTGGGTGGAAATGCCAGGGCAGGGCTGGGGAAAAAAACAACGAATTAACAAAATGGTGGAAAGTTATAGTTAGTCATGAATTTTTTTAATTGCTTTTTGAGTTTTGGTGATTTTTGATTTAGGGTAATTGATTTCATTAATAGTAGTCAATTGAAGGCACAAACAGAAAGATGTGTGTGAATGAACACATGGACATGTGAGTGTGTGTGTGTGTGTGTGTGCGTGTGTGTGTGTGTGAGTGCGTGTCAGAACCACGCACTGCTGTGTGAAATGACACCTCCCTCCGTCAAACTCGAGGGCAACTCTGGGCTTTTCTGCTGAAACAGCGACACTTCGTCAGGCGTCACGCTGAAGCTGCCGCTTCCGGCCGAACTCACGCCCGTCTGGTCGGGAGGGACGAGCCGCGTTCTTCGCGAGAAACGGCGATGTCTCGCGGGACTTCGGAAGGCCTCGGTGACCGTGACAGGCTCAGCAGTTTCCTGAAGTCACTATGGCAGCACTGAAGGCTTTTCCCGGCCTCCTGTGAAATGATTAGGATGTACCCATGCGTGGGTGTGTGGAGGGGGGTAAGGTTAACAGTTTTTTTTTCAGCGGGAATTTCATGAGACTGTTTGCTGCTGCAGTCAGCATTATTAATATTAATGCGTATTAATGTCTGAGGGAACGTCTCTTATTTATAAAATCACTAATGGTTTTTTGTTTTTCGTTTTTTAATTACTTTGGCTGCCTGTGAAGTAATTAAAGTGGTGATGTTGCATCAGAATAAACAGAACATTTCTGACATGTTTTTGTTTTTTCCAGCCCTGCCCTTAATGCCTCTGATTACTTTAAAAATAAATCCTTGAAATCAGTCCTCGCTCGTTTGCGTGAAAGATTTCCATAAGATATTTGCATAATAGATGTTTGCTTTGCGTGCCGCTCAGCAGAGAGACATCATCTGAAACAAGTGGCATCTCCACACGCATAAACGATGCGGTTATTGTTTCGTGGGAGTCCACTGAGGAAGACCATAACCAACCCCCCCCCAAGGTTGGGCACTGATTTACATTCTATCTGCTGAACGCTCTGCATACACGGCGGGATTTTCAGCGGAGAGGGCAGGAGAGAGAGAATGAAGATGAGGGAGAAGTGTAGGAAGGGGGGTTAATGAAGAAGCACTTTCTTTGAGCGCGATGCGCCATTAGCTATGGTTTTTTTTGCGTTGCCGTTATGGGCGCCGTTGACGATGTTGCGCTCGCCTTGATTATGTGGATGTGAATTTAGCATGACAATACAGCACTTGAACCGATTTGAAGACGGGAACTAGAGACGGAGGGAGTGAGAGAGAGAGAGAGAAACAGAAGAGAATTCTTTGCAACGGAGGGGCCCCTTTAAGAGTCCTTAGTCAGAGCAGCAGAGACTGTGTGAAGCCGCAGTTTCCACGACACTGTACATGTTTATGCTGTGTGCACCCAGTACATATTTACACTGGGCCTTATGTCAGATACTGTTGTCATTTATAATTTCAGTATAGTCAGTTTTGGCCTTTTTGTTTCAATTTGATCTGTGTGTGATTTTCTGCCACTAAAGAAGTTTGATCTTGATGCATCTATTAGTATTGTTGCTTTTTTAGTGTTAATGGATGTGTAGCTGTAATCACTGCCCAGATCATTATATGTCATCAGACTCGCACACCTTGGGAGTGTTTTGCTGTCATTTTGCCCATAACTCACATGGCCTGGACATATGCACTTTGGTGTCATGTGTGTTTTAAGAAGCTTCATAATATTCTCTATCATTCAAGTCCTTTATTCCACTTTACTCATTTTCCTACCATCGTAAATTTCCAAAATTTTTCAACTGATTTCTTTTCCTAGACCGTTGATGCAATGGGCACCAGATTTGGTACCAGGTGCCCTGGGCCAAGATCATTAGATGTCTTGTAAAGCTGATTAGTTGGGCGAACTGACGAATTTTTGGGAAAATCTGCTCTCAATCCTGGATGCAATGTCCACTCAACACAAACCTTTAAATGAACGTCCTCAAATGGACCAGCTCCACATTGAGACTGCAGAGGTCATTAGTGTCAAACATACTTGCCTTCAAAATCACTTGAAGAAACTACACAGAAATTAGTCCAGATTGCTCCCCTTGTCTGGTGAATGTTTTGTGAAAACTGAACATTCCTTTCTACGCAGGACCATTTGATTTGAGCTTAAACTGTTGCTTGCTTTGATATTAGTCTTTGTACGGCAGTTCTCAGCTGGATAAGCAGAACAGAGAATGAGTGGATGGGTAGCTGGATGGATTATTATCAGGTTTATCCAGGGCTCTCATTCTATTCTGCAGTTGGGAAGCTACAGGAAGTGTTGCTTCCATAAAACTGTAAAATGAAGGCTGCAGAGGAGCTGTGGATCAGTTAGTGGTTCCCATGATGCTCAGTGACCAAAATCACCAGTAAGGTCAGGATAAGAAACATTACCTCACTTCACATCATCTTCCATTGTGGAAGACAAGTTCCGATATTCAGGAACAGAAGCACAGAGGATGATAAAAATCCTCGGATGTTGTTCTTGCCTCGCACCAAATATCAAGGATGCATCGTCTGCATCCTCGCCGAACAAGATCAGTCCCATGATTCACTGCACCCCAGCTTCATTCTTGAGAGACAAGTTAGCAAGACTGGTCTTGCCAAGACCACAAGTACAATCTTTGCGTTCTTGGTGTGTGATCTTGTCATATACCGACTGTAGAGGATTGAGTGGATGACTGAAATGGTTATTTATTTTATTTGCTGTTGCCGTTATCCAGGGTGACTTACTGGTAGCTGTTGCCTCACAGATGCAAAATCACAGTACAGTATAGGAATCACCTGCAGCTGAGGCTTTAGAAGACTTCCGGAGTGAAGTATTATTTGCCGTATCCCAGGTATTGAACATCTTTCGCTGGACCTTCTGATGTTTGGGGAGATGATGCACTGCGGTGTTGGGAGCTGAGGTCCACTCAGCTGAACCACTACAGAAGAGCCAGCGGATAAGAAGCCAAGGGTGCAAGATCCCACATAACTTAGCAGTTCCCTGTTTGTTCACCTGCTGCTTGTTGAACTGTAAATGGCTGGTTGACTAATCTGAAAAGGGAACTTTAAATACTTAATCTGTTCTTCGATAAACCAGTGCAGCTGTGGAAATGGGTGAGAGATAGAATGAGTAAGAGGAAACACAAGAGTCTTCTCAAAGCGGACTTTGTGGAGTGAGTTTTGGTTCGGGCCGGTTGACAGCAGGACCTGGTCCTCCACTAAGTTTCTGCCTAAACTAGACTCTGGTTAATTCCCCCCCCCCCCAACAACCCCTGGCTGCAACTTTGGCCTTTGGTCTCCTACAATCAGTGGATGTGACCTTCAGGTGCAGCTTCCTCATTTCATGGTTTAGCATTCTTCTTTGGATGATAAGAAGAAATGCCAGGATCTCAGACTGAGTTCGACGTGAAATACAGGGCAGTACAGAGGAGGTGTGGCATTTTAGGGGCAGGGATTCAGCAGTGCCCTCTGCCATTGGACTAGACCCCCATGTTCCCAGCAGGTTTAAACCCAATCACAGCCCCACAGTGTCCATGAATTATACATCAGCACATTGCTAAGGTTACTGGAGGATGAGCTGTTTAATTCATACAAGGATCCCTGGCCTGGTAGGTGACTCTGTGGGGGTGGGACACACACCAACTGTGTTTATGTCTTTTTTTTGTGATTAGAATTCATTGTTGACACACCACAGCACACAACAACAAAATGTGTCCTCTGCACTTCACCCATATGTGACATGGTGACATAGCAGGGGGCAGCTAATTCGGCGCCCGGGGAGAAGTACCTTGCTCAGGTTACCTCAGTGGCACTTTGCTGGTCAGGGATTCGAACCAGCAGTCTTTTGATTACGAATGCACTTCCCTAGCCATTGGGCCACCACTGCCCACTGTAGTTCCTGTGAGAGTGTGGTGGATGGGTGCCTTGACCCCCCCCCCCCATCCTGGACCCTCGTCTTGCCCCCTCTCACGCTAACAAGGGCACCGTGTCCGTTAACGTTTACTTTCTGCTGAACACCTCACTCACCGCGCTCGGCCGAGTAGCTGACTGTACGCATCTGCTTGTACTAATGTGTATTTCTTTGTGTATTTGTGCACCTTAAAAAAAGATTCTGGAAAATCGTGGTGGGCTGCATACATAGACTAGTGTTCCCTGACGATGTCACCCCTCTCTTTGAAGCCATAAAGGAACGCTGCAGCGACTGGACAGAGTTTCTGATCCAGGAGTTGACCGGTGCTAGGACCGCGCCCGCCAACCTGCTGGAAGGGGTGAGAATCCCGCTCGCTCCCTGTATCCTTACACGACACACATCTAACTGTCCAACAATGGCCACAGAACTTGCAGTGCTGGTCGTGGAGCCGTGCGAGTAGATATTTAAAGATTATCACTAGAGTTGAGGTAGAGTTGGCTACCTAACCCTAACCCTAACCCTAACCCTTAGATACTTTTCTTAATACATGGGAGGGTCCTATATCAGAAAATGGTGAGTTCCCACTATAGTGACCCTATCAACCAGGGCTGTTCCTCAGATGGGACCAGCACATGCACCTGTAGCGTTAAACATTAATATCAGCGGAGTGTCTGCTAGATCTCTGGCCTTTGACCTTGACTGGGCTGTGTCCCTTTCGCATGTGTTGGCCAGAAGAATCCCTGCAAATAGACCACAAATAGCCTCACGGTCTCCACGATCATCCTCAGACCTCCTCCAGGGGGAGTGGAGCAGCTTGTCTGTGACCTCTGACCATTCACACCAGGAAGCGCTTGGTGGTTCCTTAGCAGGCTTCTGAAGATGCAGACCCAGACAGACTGGACTGTATTTAAAGCTGAAATGCAATTCATTACACTTAAAATACGGTTTCAGTTCCCCTCACAAGCCCTTTGGCTTCTAGAGGCCCCATCCAGGGTTTCTGGGTCAGAGGAACTGGAGGTCAGTAAAGAAAAGCCCCTGACTGGCATGGTCATCTGCCCCTGCAGCCCATGCGTGGGAAGAACACGGTGGACCTGATCACAGCAGGCTCCGTGGTGGAGCTCCAGGACATGCGAGAGCCCTTCCTGTACTGGACGGCGCGGGTGCTGGAGAACACAGGCGGCCGGCTACATCTGCGCCACGTGGGCTTGGAGGATGAAGCCCACGACACCTGGCTCTTCTACCTGGATGTGCGGCTCCGGCCCATGGGTTGGTGCCATGAGAATCACTACACCATGGAGCCTCCTGCTGGTAAGGCAGTGCCCGAACCCGGGGCCGGCGTGCAGGCCTGCGGAGGCCTGCTTCACGGGCACAGAGAGTGTCGCCTGAAGCCTCGTAGACCCAGCTTTTGGACGCTTTATGTTGTGTTGCTGCAAAAATTAAATGAAGCAAAAATTAAATGGTGCTTTTATTTGCCATTTGCACTGGAATTCGTTAAGTTTTCACATATTCCATGTAGCTCTCCTTTGAGCTACACAGACACATACAGGAGACAGTGAAGTCTGGCCCAAGGGTAGGGTCAGTCATTTCTCTGGTAGCCTTGGAGATTTTCGGGGGAATTGGAACCTTTGCTCAGAATGTCACTATTTTGCATGAGCTGGTTAACTGATTAAACCAAACCTGCTGAGCCACGCTCTGCCCCCCCCCAGGAGAAGCAGGTGAGACCTTTGTAGGGGACGGGGTGATGTAACGCTGACGACGTTCCTGCAGAAGATGCCTTTTTGTTGCTCAGAGCCAGTCATTTTGCACTGTGGCTGTGGGGGCCAGTACAGACACTGGAAGGATTGTTTATACTGTGCTTACCTCACTGGCAGTGTTTTTGTTTTCTTGTTATGGGCGGGGGGGTGACTCTGACGTCATCAAAAGTGTCCTAGTCCCTGGTGACCTGGACAGGAATGTCCCAATTGCTACGACACAAACCCTGTGGTCACCGCTAATTATAGAGCAGTCTGACCCTGGTGTTGGTGACACAGGATCTTTAATCGGACAAAGGAAGCTTTCTGACGTGCAGAGGAAACCGCTTCCGTCCACCAGGCGTGTCTGTCGTCTGATCTCAGCGGCTTGGCGATTTCTGGGAAGCACTGTGGAATTCTGCAGGTCTCTTTGGGTGCTGGCCGGGGATTCACGGACCGCCGTGACTCACGCGAGCCGCGCTGCGTCGTTCCTCATTCCTGCATCGACTGGATTCTCCGTCATTGTTATCTTGAAAGTCATCAGGAAGCAGAAAAAGAAAGAAAAAAACCCAGATGTTTTTCAGTGGGACGATGGAGTGATGACGCGTGCAGGATGATGTCATAGCCTTCAGAGGCCCTGGAGGGGAAGGGGTGTATATATAAACCTAAGATCTTGTAAAAGTTGCCTTTAGGCTACAGGACTTGTTTTGTTATGTATAGGGCTTGTTGTTTTGTAGGCATGCGAATGGCTTATGGAACATACACCATGGGCTATACAGGTTCTGAGGTTCCAATGAAAGCATAATATTTTCTGTTACTGAAGAAACTTCTGACGTATCTAATTTTTTGGTGCAGATGCATGGCAGCTGAGGGTGTCATCTGAGTCCATTCTGCTGTCTCTCTTGTCTCCCCACAGAGCTGCGGAGTCTGAAGAGCACCCCCGAGTGGCAGGAGGCCTTGGTGCAGGCGCGTGCCGAGGCGGAGCAGAACCCACTACCTTTGGAAGTGTTTAAGGTCAGGGGCCACTGGGAGGGAACACGAGCGCGTGCCGGCTGTGTGATTGGACAGCAACGACGGACACTCAGAGCCTAATTGGTCCTGATTGGCTGACTGCCCTTGGCCCAGGAATTGCGGACAGGAATTCATCCTGTTCGGTCACAGGAATCCATTTTCTAATCGCAGGGCTGTTTTCGCTCTGAGATGGTGTTCAGTGGGGAGTCCACAAAATCAGCATGCAGTCTCCCGGAGACCCAATACAGTTTGTTATTAAAGCGAGCGCACCGTTCTCGAAGCCCAGCCGCGGAAACGGGACGTACAGCCAAATAGAAGCAGCAGCGGTGGAAAAAAAGGTCTATTTTTACAGAGCCTGAATGAAAGCTGGATGTTTCAGGCCCGGAATGAATAATGTATTCACACTGTGAATCCATTTGTGCGGAAATAATGATGGCAAGTCAGGTGGGCCGGCAAGGAACACAGAGTGTCACCTTCAAGGAAGCAGGGCACAGTCTGTGGGTTTGTTGTCCAATTAGACACCCCCAGCCCGTCATTTACGCGCGGGACAGGGGAACAGCGGGCTGGGTGTGTCTGTGCTGGTTTCAGGCTTGGCAAAAATAGTCTAAATAATCTTCACTAGGAAATACAAATTGCAAGCTGTAAACTAAAGCATTAATTCCTTTACACAAATAGATAAATATAGATAAATTGTGATTTATCTAGTGAATATTGTGACACTAAGATTTTTACGTTTTAACGATATGTTTACTGTGGGGAAATAATTGAAGCAATTCCAGATAGTTGTCTCTGATAGAGTAGGGAATTGACCCGGTAAACAGTCTGTCTTTAACCGGTTTGCCACCCGCTGACCGAATGAAGAGTAAACAAATATGCATGGTTGTTTTTGCAGGAATGCCAGTCATGTCAGTAGCTTCTGTGTTTGAGAAGGAGACTGCAGGGCGACTGCCGATTGCCACTCGTGTCCATCAGTCCTCAGAGGGCTTCAGCTAACTGAACCCCCCCTCCCCCACACACACACACACATACACACACACACATACACACACACACATACACACACACACATGTGCAAGGTAACAACAGCCCAGTCTGCCGCCTCATTTCTCTGCTTTCCGCATTGGACAGGAAATGGGTGAACAGTGGCAGAATATTCAGTGTGAGATGTTGTGTGAGTCTAGAGTTTCTTACAGACACACACACACACACACACACACACACACAGACCTGTACTCATCTTTGTGAGGACCGTCCATTCATCTCTATGAGCATAACCTTAATTTCAACAATGACAACCCTAACCCCTACCCAGCCCTAACCTTAACCATAAGTAACCAAACAAAATATGAGACTCGTGGACCTGAAAAAATGGTCCCCACAGCATTTGGTCCTCACAATGTAATGTATGCATACTCCCCCCCCCCCCACCCCCCACAGACACACACAGGCACACGCACGCACACACAAACAGACACACACACAGACACACGCACGCACACACAAACAGACACACACACAGGCACACGCATGCTTACACACACAAACACCCACAGATGCACCCACAGACAGACACACATCATTCTGGCTTTGCCAGTCTCTTATTCTCTCCCATGCTGTGGAACCTCAGGCAGCTGTCCTGAATGGTATCACAGTAATGCTTTGGCCACAGACCTTGTGGGAGAATCACGTTGTAAAGTGCAGCAATTACCTTGAAGAGCGTCTACTCTGGAAATGTGAAATGTGTGCACTTCTGCTAAAACCCTGCCCTGCCCTGCCCTGCCCTGTGCTCCAGGACCACGTCGAAGTGAGAAAGCACACCTTCAGGACGGGGATGAAGCTGGAGATGGTGTCTCCTGGGAAGCCCTTCCACATCTGCCCCGTGTCTGTAACCCAGGTGAGCTGAACTCACTCGGAAAGGACAGAGATTGGACAGCCAGGTCTGTCAGGAAGGGTCATGTGACCAAAACCCGACCATGAGTAGCAGGTACAATGCTCCATGCGTCCTGCAGTGTTCCGCTTTGCCTGTTAGAGCCGCCTGGCGACATGAGCCACGACGGTTAAGGCCCGCGCTGCATAAATGATGAGCTCCAGGAACAGAGCTGGATGCTGCCCTCACGGCTGCAAGGTGAAACTGAAACGGAAGCTCATCTCAGCGGCTGCTCAGCTCCCCTTGTCGGCCTTCGTGTGGGGTCATCCTACGGTGGAGCTTGCAGGGTCCGGCGGTCGATCGGGAGAGTCCCCTTAGGGTTAGGGTTGCTGCTAGGGTTACACCCAAGATGTGCTCTTCAGCAGACCTGATGGGCCTGAATTTGGCCTGAGTGGCAGCAGCGTTTCATAGGTCTGGTATCACATTGATGGTGTGGTGTGCCCAGGTCCAGGAGTGGTTTAGTGGGTTACATTTAGGGCAACCGCGATTAGTCGACGTAGTCGATGACGTTGATGCTGAAAATGCGTCAACATCAATAATTTAAATCGATACATCGTTTTTTAAATTATTATTTTAATTAAATTACCATTATGAGTTCTAAAACACTTCAGTTCATTATAACAAATGTTTCCATTTAATATCTACATAATTATGGGAGTAGTTCAAATTATCACAAAATAAAATGGTGATTTTACACTGTGCAAAGTTCGATGGCATCCCACAGCGGCACTGGGACCATGCATGATCACCGGAAGGGGAAACGCGCTGCCGGATTCTGCATGATGGACCTCCAAAGTAGGGAAAACAACCATAAGTGTTGTCTATTTATGTTTATTAAATTACCATTAGTATGGAGAGCTTTTAATATCATCGTAGCTGCTACTGTAAATACACTCATTACTAAAGCCATAAAGTCATCTGCCTGCTACCTTAGAATCTCCATTGAATACGTGTTTGAGAAAATGTTTAGGCTAAAATCTGGGCTTATTCTACATAGATTGACAGTGCCAGTGTGTGTTTGTGCGCATTGGGCTTATTGGAAGTTTGAACACGTATTATTATCATAAAGTAAAACTGGAACAAAAACGAACATTAAATAATAGAAAATAATTTGCGAACTGAAATAAAAATGAAAACGTTGGACTTCAATCAGCAAACAATAACACCACACCACCAACATGCTTTTACCTTCCACAATTTCTCCTCTTTTAAAAATGTTGTGGCTGCTGATCTGTCCCTTTCTTCAGTGCCACTTCAGTGCTTATTGCTTCCAAAACAAGTTTGATAGGCATAAGGATATGCCGAATTTATACAGATTACTAACTTCTGGGTGTCACAATACGCATCTCATTAGTATTTTAGGCATACTACCAACTTGGTTATCGAGTTGTGGGCAAAAATAATATCCGTACAGTGCTGAAAAGCCAGCGTCCGTTATGTAAAGCCCTGCAAGAACACTCTGATGTTGTTTTTTTAAATACCTTAAATTAAATGGTCTGTTTTTTCTTCTGGAGGAAAATTAATCATTTAGATTAATCAACCAATCAGTAAAATAGTTGATAGATTAATCCATAGAAAAATAGTCGTTAGTGGCAGCCGTCATTACATTTGCTATCCCACACTTTACTCGGCAGAGGACAGTAACAGGACAGTCACAGGGCAGGACAGAGAACAGCCACAGGACAGCGGGTATTCACAGGACAGTGGACAGTCACAGAGTAGGGGAGAGAACAGTCACAGGGCAAAAGACAGTCACAGAGCAGGACAGTGGACAGTCACAGAGTAGGGGAGAGAACAGTCACAGGACAGAGGACAGTCACAGGACAGAGGACAGT